TCCTCCTGATCTCTGCTTCCTGAATAGTAGCTAGGATGACAAGCGTAAGCCACTGGCACCTGGCAAGAATCTCCTTTTTGATCTCCTTGCTTCCAGTATCTTTCCACCCAAGGCCCTCTGCACAACCAAGGCAGAGGCATCTGACCACATCAACTGCCTCTGTGTCTGCAAACTGTCTGCAACCTGTGCACCTCTATCTTCTGGATAAACTCCAGGCTCCGGGTTAACAGTTCACTCATTCCACCCTATGATAACTGAAATGAGAAGTCAATTGTCAAACTACTTTCCCATCAGAAAATCCAGGCATGCCAGGGTGGAGGCTTCATTCAGGTGGTAGAGCGCCTGCCTAGCAAGCGTGAGGCCCTGAGTTCAATCTCCACTACTGCCAAAACAAAAAAAAATATTGAGTGAATGAAACAGGCAGGTCCCACGGGGCTCTGTGAGGTGGCACAGACATGACCGGCATTTTAATGTTGGTGGATTTGCCAACCTATGAGTGTGTGGGTGAGTGTGAGAATGTACATGTGTGACTATGTGTATGAGAGCAAGTGCATGCATGTGTGCATGTGTGAGCATGTGTGTGCTTGTATATATTATATGAGTGAGCCTTGTATGTGTGCATGTGTATTAGGAGTGTGTGTGTGAGCACATGTATGGGTATGCATGCATATGTATGAGTGTGCATGTGTGCACATGTGAGCATGGGTGTATGTGAGAGAGAGCTTGCATGCACATGCCCGGACCCCACAAGTATGAGATGAAAACTGAATGTCTCCAAGACCTCCCAGCCACATCCATGTCCCAGCAGGGAACTTAGGCTTCGGGGGCCATTTTGGGGGTCACTGTTTCTGGGTCCAGTGGCTCCAGATGAGCAGCGCAGGGAAGGTGCTATTCAGAGCCCTATCAGTGACACCTCAGCACTCTCCTGTCATGCAGCCATCATCTCCTCCCCTGCTGCCTTCCTGGGTCTCCCTCCCCTCTCATTTTCTCTCACTCCATCATCTCTGCCTTACAAGTCACTGCCCTGCCACTTCTTACGGATTAGTGGATGGGAAGCAATCCTTGCAGCCCTGTGCTGGAAAATTTAGCTGTAGTCTTTGCCCATTTTTTAGCTTTGCTTTGCAAATAAGTCTCAAATCAGGGAACTATAATGTTCCAAATAAAAACATCCAATCAGGGCTGGTAGTGTGCCTCAAGTGGTAGAGAGCCTGCCTAGCGAGTATGGGGCCCTGAGTTCAAACCCCAGTACTGCAAAAAAAGAAAAAAAGACACCCAATCAACAGAAAAGAAAATCCAGCAATGCCATAGGTGAGTAAGTGTGTGAGACAGGAGAGAGAAACAATAACTCTGTTCTGCCTTCAAAGAAAAGTCTCCCTTATTCACAGTTTCCAAAAAGAAGAGATACCTATTTAATGTTAACACCAGAGCAGCAAATTATTTTTTTTAGCAGTATTGAGATTGAACTCAGGGTCTTGGGCTGGTGGAATGGCTCAAGTGGTGAGTGCCTGACAAGAACTCAGGGCCTCACTAGCTAGGCAGGTACTCTACTATTTGAGCCACTCTGCCTGGGCTGGCTTTGAGCCTCCTGATCTCTGCCTCTAGAGTAGGCGTGAGCCACCAATGCCAGCACAAATGATATTTCTAAGAGCTGCCTGTAATGTGTCCAAACCACGTGGATGTTACACAGTGAAGTGGGGTAAATGGATTTTTATATTTTGCTATCCAGCCTACATTTAGTGGCCACACACTTTTGTCGGTTTTGTGCTGCAGGGATTTCATGCATGCTAAGCAAGTGCTCTATCGCTGAGCTACACCCCTGCCCAACACAGACACACATTTAATAACAGAACTCAACATGTTGTTAAGAGTAGATGAACAAAGCCAAACCTTAAAACACTAGGACCACAGTCACACAGTTTTAAGAAATAAAACCTGGCCAGGCACTGGTGGCTCACACCTCTAACCCTAGCTACATGTGAAGCTGACATCAGGAGGATGGTGTGAAGCCAGCCAGGACAAATAGTTCGAGAGACTCCATCTCCAAAATAACCAGAGTAGGCCTGGTGCTTACCACAGGCTGTTCTTATAGAAAGAAGAAGCAAAGTAAACCTACCCCATATACACTACACCTCAGCCCAGGCCCTCTGCCTGATCTTATTGTGAGTGGGGAGACATAGAGAAAGAAAGAAAAAAAAACCTTGTTATTAAAACAAAAAACAGGACACCAGAGGTGTGGCTGAAGTAGTTGAGCACCTACCTAGCCAATGTGAAGCCCTGAGTTCAAATCCCAGTACCGAAAAAAAAAAAACAGCTGGGCATGGTGATGCACGCCTATGATTAGCAGACTGAGGCAGGAAGATCGCGAGTTCAAGACTAGCCTGGGCTACATGACGAGACCCTGCCTCAAAAACGAAAAATAAAACAGCTAGGAACTCCAGAGAGAATTAAAGATGCTTTTTTAAAGTAAATTACTTAATAAAACGTATAGAAAGTTTTAAAATCATATATGTGGAATTCCATGAATTTTCACCAAGTGTAAGCTATTTTTTTAAAGATTGGAGAAAGGATTCTTTTTTTCTGTTTCGCGGATTCATTTAAAGCAAGGACCACAGGTATTTGAAACAGATGACATCATCTGTCAGCAGAGGCGCAAGGCAACTTGGGGCGTGGTGTAGAGCCTAACGTCATCACGCAGCAGCTTCCTCTCCCTGCCCACTTCTGCCTTGAACCAGGCGTCAGCTCAATACGCCCTTAGATGAATCCGGAAGTAAACTACCGAAACAACCAAGCCTTGGGAGCGGGGCAGGCGGGGCCTTAAGCAGGCGCCTGCACACTGGCTAAAAGAAGCAAAATGCCCGGCTTTAGGGGCGGGACTCCAGGCAAAAGCACGCTAGGCGCGTGCGCAGAAGCGACCTCCAGCCTGGGCCAGGTGGGAGGGGCGGTTGGGATGGTAGGGTCGAGCGGTTCCATCTGCGCCTGCGCCCCGGCGCGAGGTGGGGCCGCGGGTTCCTGCACCGTTGGGTTCGTGCACGGGGTAGAGGGGCAACGGTCAACTGTCACCCCGAGGCAGGAGGCGGCGGCGGGATGGCAACGATCTCCGGGTCGCCTCCGCCCGGTGGGGGAGCCCAGACGGCGGTGGCAGCCGCTGAGGAGGAGGAGCGAGAGGTGGTACGGGTCCGAGTCAAGGTGAGGCTGGCAACCTGTCGTCCTGCCCGCCCGGGTGTCCCAGAGGAGAAGGCGGTGGCTGTCATAACATGAAGGGTGGGGCCTGAGATTTGGAGCGTTGCCTGAGGGGCGAGGCTTGAAAGCGGAGTGATGGGGGGGTTTGAAGGTGTAGGTTTTAGGGATGGATGAGGCCGTGGGACTAAAAATGGGGCTGGGGCCTATGGAATGGGTGGGTGGAGCTTATGGATAGAGGGGCGGGGTTGTAGGGTTAAAGGTGGGGCCTTGAAGAATGACAGGGGTGCCTTCAGTGTCTGAAAGGGGAGTCCTGAACTCAACACATAGGCATTGAGAGTGCACGCTTGTGGAGGAGGGGGGAGACAAACAAATTACATGTTTTGGACACTGGTGAATGATGTGAGGAAATAATGAAAAAGGTTATGAACTAGGGAGTTCATCAAGGTTATATTGGAAAATCCCCAGGGTAGGTACTGAAGGAGCTGAGACCTGAATACAAAGGGTCGGCCATGTACCTTGTACATTTCAGGCTGGGGAAGAAAGTTCTAGGCAGAGAGGGTAGTGGTAAGGCTGGGAGGTGGGGATGAGCTTGACTTGTTCCTGTAGGTTCTCCTATTGCTGGAACAGTGAGAGCAAGGGCAAGAATGGTAGGAGGTGAATCAGAGAGGTACGAGGGGGCAGGTGCTGAAGGGCCTTTGGTGTGTATTCTGGGGACGAAATCTGTTGTAGTAGTTCCAGCAGGCAGTGACAGTGGCTCAAACGGGGTGGTCACATTGGCAGTGATGAGAAGAGAGTCAACAGATATTCCCCATAATAGAGCTCTAAGGTAGAGGTCTGGGAAATTAGGGGGAAAAAAAAGATGCCTGCTGGGCCCCAGTGGCTGACTCCTGTAATCCTAGATACTTGGGAGGCTGAGATTGGGAGGATGAAGGTTCAAGGCTAGTCTGGGCCAATAGTTAAAGAGACCCCAATCGCCAAAATAAGCAAAGCAAAATGGACTGGAGGTGTGGTTCAAGAGCTAGAGTGCTTGCTTTGCTCAAAGCCTTGAGTTCAAACCTCAGTCCCACTTAAAAAAAAAAAAAGATGCCTGAGCTTTGAGTAAGTGAGGTGAAGAAAGTGGGAAGGATGGTCCAGAGAGAGAGGGATCAGCCACACAAAAGCCTGGAGACAGGATGTGTTCAAAGTAACTTCCAGCTTGCACTGACTGGGAAGGGGTCTGCTGGGGACCCTAGGATGACTGTAGAAATTTAAGCAGGGGAGTGTTACAGATAGATGAGCTAGATTGGCACCAGTGTGGAGGGCTGACTTAATTGTGGCCAGACTAGACATGGTGACTCTGCCAAACCATATTTGAAGGGATGTAGGATTGGACACCTGGACTGTTGCAGTAGCCTCCTCCTCACTGGACCCCTTGCTTCTACCCTCACCCCCTCCAGTCTTTTCTTAGAGCAGCCATAAGTATCCTATTCAACTCCAAGTCAAGCCATATCCCTTTTCTGCTCAGAAACTTCCTATGGCTCGTCCTCACTCAGAGCAAAAACCAAAGTCCTCCCAGTGGCCCAGAACACCCACATCAGTCTGTCTCCCACCCATCCCCCCCACTCCCACTCTGACCTTGCCTTCTACTGCTCTGCACCCCACTCATTCTTCAGCATGCCAGCGTGGCCCCTCCTGGACTAATTCATGTCTTCTCTCCTCAGAAATGTGAGGGCTTCTCATCACCTGAGTTCCGCTCTTTTGCTGTAGACCCCCAGATCACTTCACTGGACGTGTTACAGCACATCCTTATCCGAGCCTTTGACTTGAACGGGTGAGTGGGAGACTGCTAGGGACCAGCCCAGCAGTTATCTGGCTTTGGTGGGGGTTTTCGTTTGTTTGATAAGGTTTTATTTATTTTTCTATTACCAATAATCCCACAGTGAACAGCCAAATGTCTGTATACTGGAGTACCTGGGGAAGCTAGTCATAAGGTAAATTAGCTTTCAGTGGATGGCTCCAAAATGATCTCCAGACAGGTTTTACCAATTTGTAATGTCACCAGCAGCATATAAAATGTTTTGCTAGATGTGGTGGTCCATGCCTGTAATCCCAGCACTCGGGAAGCTGAGGCAGGAAAATCTCAAGTTTGAGGCCAGCCTGGGCTAGGTATAGGGACTCTGTCTCAAACAGAATAAAACCTTGTTTTCTACACACCTCAGAAATTACTTACTATAAGACATTGCAAAATTTGTAAACCGGATAGCTGAAAGTCTCTTGAGGGCAGATGTGATGATTAGTTTTGTTTCAGTGATTGTGTTGGAGGAATACATGCCTATGGTAACAAATTTAAGTAGTACAGGATTGCTGGTGGAGTGGCTTAAGCGGTAAGAGTGCCTGCCTTGCAAGTGTGAGGCCCCTGAGTTCAAACCCGAGTGCCACCAAAAAAGAAAAAAGGAATAGTACAGGATTGATGGATTGATGGGAATGTAGGATGTTTCCATGGTTACAGTGGTTATCATACAACATACTTCTTTGCATAGTTGCACAAGTATATCTAAAGAATACATTCCTAGCTGGTGTTTAGCTTCTTGTATAAGCATTTTTTTCTTGTGAAAAATGACAAACATACAGATTGCTTTATTTTTATGTAGTAAGAAGGCTGCATTCTTCCCACTTCTATCCCTCAACTCCACTGTTACTGTCCCCAGAGGGGACCAGCATTTTACCAGTTTTCAGTGTGCCCTCCAGATATGAGCAGGTGTGTATCTATTTCTGTGTTTGTGTAACAAAGTGGATACAAATTCCCTGACCTCAGGCTACCTTAGTCCTTAGTATAGCACCCACAGATAATAGAATGTCGTTTTCAATGCCTTCCATGTTAACCCCATTGTTTTGGAAACTGTCCCTGAGGCTTCTGGGAAACTAGGGACCCTGAGAGTTACCTCATGTCCTCCATCCAGGAAGAAGAACTTTGGCATCAGCTACCTGGTCCGGGATCGGCTAGGACAGGAAGCTTACCTCTCCCTCCTGTCTGACTGGGACCTCAGCACAGCTTTTGCTACGGCCTCCAAGCCTTACCTGCAGTTGCGTGTAGACATTCGGCCCTCAGAGGACAGTGAGTACCCAGTGCTCTAGCAGTGCCCCAAAGGGTAACACCATTCCTCACAATGTAACCCGCAGTGGACTGGGCAGCAAGGTGTCCTAGGTCCAGATCCTTGTTTGGGATCAAACTGGGCCTCAGTTTCTTTATTTATATAGTAGAGGTGATGGTATCTTAGGGCTATTGTGAGGATTCAATAGGGAAATTCATATAAAATGCTTGAAGCAAAATATGGCCACATAGAGAATGCTTAAAAAAGTGTTAGGTCTGCGGGGTGCCGTTGCCTCACACCTGTAATCCTAGCTACTCAGGAGGCAGAGATCACAGGGTTAGCCCGGGGAAATAGTTCTCGACACCCTACCTTGATAAAACTCATCACGAAAAAGGGCTGGTGGAGTGGCTCAAAGTGAAGGCCCTGAGTTTAAATTCCAGTACCACAAAAAAAAGTGTTAGCTCTATTATAGCATATACTTGTACTACTGCAGCATATGACCTAGTAATACATGTTATTATTCTATAATGCAATATAGCAGTATGGCTACAGTGTGATACATTTCAGTTATAGCACTATCTAAACATGGCAGTGCTTATTATAATAATGGCAGTTGTATCTTTTCATTCTCTCACCCTTCACCCGCATTCGTTATTGCACACTCATTCCTTCCCTTGATCTCTCAGCTACTTCTATACTCGCCCTTGGAAACACACAGATAAATTAAGACTTGGCCCCAAAAATTTGATTATGGACCATTTTGATAGTATTCTTTTTTTTTTTCTTTTGGCAGCACTGGGGTTTGAACTAGGCTCTCGCAGGCACTTTACCTCTTGAGCCACTCCACCATCCCTTTTTTGTGTTGGGTATTTTCAAGATTAGGTCTCACAAACTATCTACCTGGGCTGGCTTCGAACTGTGATCCTCCTTTTCTCTGCCTCCCAACTAGCTAGGATTACAGGTGCGAGCCATCAGCACCCGCCTATTTTTTTTTTTTTGAGCGTGAAAGTATGGAATTTATTAAAGCAAGTGAGAAAAAACAGAAACAGAGCTCTTGCCAGTCAAGAGGTGTCCTGACAGAGGGTCTCCTAGTAATACTCTTTTTTTTTTTTGAGACAGTGTCTCACTATATAGCCCAGCCTGGCCTCAAACTTGTGATACTTCTACTTCAGCCTCACAAGTACTGAGATTATAAATATGTACCACCATGCCTGGCTTAGATAATATTATTCTGTCAGTGTTAAATTTCCTGGCTGTGTGTTTTAGTATGTTTGTGCTACTATAACAGGGTACTATAGCCTAAGCCAGGCATGATGACATACACCTGTAATCCCAGCACTAAAGACTCTGGGGCAGGGCTGTTGCAAGTTTGAGGCCAGCCTGGGCTACATAGTAAGAGTCCGTCTCAAAAAAAAAATACTAAAGTCTTGGTAGTTTGTAAAGAACAGAAATTTATTTCTCATAGATCTGGAGGCTGGGAGATCCAAGATCAAGGTGCTGACAGGTTGTATGTGTGGTACCAGCCTTCTTGCTGTGTCCACACCTCGTGGAAAGGATAGAAGAACAAAGAAAGGATGAATGCTCTTTCCTCACATGCTGGAGTAGCAGAAAAAAGTGAACCCACTCCCTTAAGGGTCTTTTTTTTTTGTGGTACTGGAATTTGAACTTAGGGCCTCGTGCTTGCTAGGTAGGCGCTCTACACTTGAGCCACTCCACTAGCCCTTTCTGTATATGTGTGTTGAATATTTTTCAAGATAGGGTGTCGTGAACTATTTGCTTGGGCTGGCTTCAAACAGTGATCCTCCTGATCTCTGCCTCCTGAGTAGCTACTATTATAGCATTATAGGTGTGAGCCACTAACACCTGGCTCCTAAAGGGTCTTAATCATCTCTAAAAGGCCCCGCCTATTAGATATCATTTATCTGAAATGCTTAGGGCCAGAAATGTTTCAGATTTCAGAGTTTTTCATATTTTAGACTGTATCAGACACTTATCATTTGAATATTCCTAATTCAAAAGTCCAAAATCTAAAATGCCCCAAAATCCTAAACTTTTTCGGCCTCATGTTGGTACACACTCAAAAATTTTGAGGTTTTGGATTTCAAATTTTCAGACTAGGGATGCTCAACCTGCATGGTCACTTTCTTTTTTTCCTCCATTTTTATTATATTTATTGTACGGGGGGAATTCATAGTAACAATTTCAAATAAGCTTGTATTGTACATTAAATTTTTTTTGTGGTACTGGGGTTTAAACTCAGGGCCTTGAGCCACTCCACCAGCCCTTTCTTGTGATGGGTATTTTCGAGATAGGGTCTTGGGAACTGTTTGCCTGGGCTGGCTTCAAACCGAAACCCTCCTGATCTCTGCCTCCTGAGTAGCTAGGATTACAGTACATTAGTTACATCTCCCCCATCGTCTCTCCCCCTCTCCCCCCTCCCCACCCCACCTAAAGCAATCACAGGAGGTTTTGTGTTCTATTTCGTATAGGTATGTAAGTTCTATCAGCAGTTACATTCAAACCATAGCAGTATGGTAATAGGATCAGGGCTACGAAAGGAAAATATCCCTGTACTTGGGAAAACACAGTTGAGTATGGAGGCGTAAAGTGTCGTGATGTTTGCAGATGATTTGGCAGATATCAAATGTTTACATGTAGAGTAGAGGGAGCGAGATAAAGCAAATGTGGCAAAATATGTTAATGAGACCAAGATGGATGTATAGATGTTCACTTTTTTTTTTCAATAGTGCTAGGGATGGAACCCAGGGCCTTGTGCATGCTAGGCAGGCACTGTACCACCGAGCTACACCTCACCCCTTTTTCTTTTCTTTTTTCTTTTAGATAGGGTCTCACTAAGTTGCCCAGCTGGCCTCAAACTCGTGATCCTCCTGCCTCAGCCTCCTCAGTAGCTGGCATTACAGGTGTGTACCACCATACTTGGCAATGCCCAGCAAGTTTGAATTTTTTTAATAAAAAATTCTGGAGGGCTAGCGGAGTGGCTAGCAAGCGCAAGGCCCTGAGTTCAATCTCCAGTCCTGCCAGAAAAAAAATTATGGAGTGGAAGATGTGAGTCTCTCAGGGGGTCTCAGGGAGCTCATATGCCCATCTGGGATAACTGAGGCATGCTATTGATATTATAGTAATATGTGAATAGCTAACATGGATTAAATATTTGGGCCATTCTGTGCACATAATTTTTTCAGGGAATTGTCAAAATAATGTCCAGAGTAGGGATTGTCATTCCCCCATGTAATAAATGAGAAAACTTTGGCTGGCAGAGGTGACAGGATTTTTCCAGGTCACATAGACAGTAAGTAGAAGAGCAGGATTTAAATCCAGGCAATGCACAAACTGGCTCCAGAGTTCTTGTTCTTAACCATTTTATCATTTTGTGATTGTTAAGACTGGCAGCCTTGAAGAAAAGATGGAGGGAGGGAGGAGAGGACAGGAGAGGAGAGAGGAAGAGAGAGAAGGAGAGGGGTGAGAGAGAGAACAAGAGTCAGAGAAAAAGACAGTGACAGGAGCCAGATGTGGTGGTACACACTTGTAATCCCAGTACTCGGGAGGCTGAGGCAGGAGGATGGCAAGCTCGAGGCCATGCTGGGCTACATAGTGAGACCCTGACTAAAAAAACAAAACCAACAACAACAACAAAAAACAGCCCAAAGTGACAGAGATGAAAAAGGAGACAGATAGGATAGGTATCCAGAGATATAGGAACCTCTGCCACTATGTCAGTGACTTAGGTCAGTCACGTAACTAACTCCCCAGGCTGCAGTTTTCCTCACCTGTAAAATGGACACAGTAGCAGTATTTCAATAAAGAAATCAAATCTGCCCTGCGAAATAATGTGTGAGGAAAAGCCCAACTGCATATGGCATGCTAATAGAGCAAAGGGAGACAGACAGAAGGATCTTTTCTAAAACTACATTTTTGTTTTGGTGGGACTGGGGTTTGAACTCAGGGCTTCATGCTTGCAAAGCAAGTGCTCTACCAGTTGAGCAACACTTCCAGTCCATTTTGCTCTGGTTATTTTGGAGATGGGGGTCTCACAAACTATTTGCTGGAGTTGGCCTCAAAATGCCATCCTTCCAATCTCACCCTCCTGAGTAACTACGAATACAGGTATAAGCCACCACGCCTGGCACAAAACTACATTTTTAAAAGTTACCCTCTTAAAATAACTTTTCAGTTATTGTTGAGTCAGTTCTTTCTTTACTGTTTCCAAAAGCTGCCTGTCTTATTTGCCAAAATCCTGCTAGACGAGCACTCAACCATTGAGCTGTACAGCCCCATTCCTTTAAAGCCTTATATATGCACAAGTCTGTTTCTGAATTTCTAATCTCTTACACTGATCTTTTTATTAAACCTTAAGGCAGTTTCACATTGTTTTTTGGCTTGATTATTTGCTTGTTTGTTTTGATTTTTGAGACAAGGGCTCATTATGTAGCCCAGTCCGCCCTCTCCTGCCTCACCTAGTGCTGGGATTATAGGCGTGAACCACCACACTCAACTTTAGGTTGTTTTAATCACTGTAGCTTTATGTTAGGGTTTTTTTTAATTGAAGGATTCATTTATTGAAGAATTATAAATGGGCACTCCCTTCCAACTGTCCTAAACTTCCTAAAACTCTCACAATGAGCCAGGTATTTATTCAGTACTCACAATTTGACAAGAAGGGGGCCTGATAGTCTTGTATGTCCAGAAATTGGATTGTTCCAGAAAGTTTTCTGTTTTTGCATGGCCAAAGGAATAGCTTGCCATGGTGTAAAACAGCCATCTTTGTAAGGTTCTTTCAGATATTTCCCCTATTTTTATTTAAATTTTATTTTATTGTTTTTACATTTACTTACATGTATACATTATTTGGGCCACCTTCCCCCCCCATGATAGGTTTTGTTTATTTAAGGCTTTTTATTGTTAGCATATTATAGTTGTACATTGTGTCATTAATATAAGTGCTTATAATGTATTTTAATTAGATTTACCTCCTCCTTCTTTCTCCTTTTATCCCCCTTTCCCTCCCTTCATTTCTTTTTGCTAGACCTAAGGCCTTGCACATACTAGACAAGCACTCTACCATTGAGCTGCACTCCCAGCCCTAACATTTTTTTCCTGAACATTCTTAAGTATTTACTGTTCTCATTTTTTTTTTTTACCGTACTGGAGTTTGAGCTCAGGGCCTCATGCTTGTTATGCAGGCGTTCTACCACTTGAGCCACTCTGCCAGCCCTGTTTTGTGTTGGGTATTTTCAAGATTGGGTCTCACAAACTATCTACCCGGGCTGGCTTTGAACTGTGATCCTCCTTATCTCTGCCTTGCAACTAGACAGGATTATAGGTGTGAGCCACTGACACCCAGCAAGCCACCATCTTTTTGCTTCCAGAGTTGTGCAGCGGAAGTTCATCTCCAGTCTTCCCTTCCCTCCACTGTAAGAAGCCTGCTCTTTGTAGAAGCCAGCAAGAGTTTTTTCTTCATTCTTAGAATCTGGGTATTTCTCCAGCATATGAATAGGGTCCAAGGAGGCTTAGTACATGGTGTTTGTGAATTAATCCTAACCAAGACTTGGTAAGGCATTTCTTCATCTTAGGGAGATTCCCATCATACTTTTTACCTGTTTATTGTAACATCTGCACCTGATCCCTTTTCTCACCTGCATTTCCTGGTTTTTGCCTGTTAGGTTTCCCAGGCTTGACTACCAGTCTTTCTACTTTTTCACTAGAATTATCTAGCCTTAGCTCTATGCCTTGAAGTAGTTGTTTCTTCTTTTTTGGGAGGAGGTGGCAGTACTGGAGTTTGAACTCAGTCTCCTACTTGATAGGCAGGTACTCTACCACTTGAGCCATGTCCCAAGCTCTTTTTTGCTTTAGTTATTTTGCAAGTAGGTGCAATGTTTTTGCCTAGGGCCAACCTCAGACCTTAGTCCTCCTTCCTGTGGCCTTCCATGTAGCTAAGATCATAGACATGAGTCTCTATACCAGGCTTAATGATAGAGATGGTGTCTCACAAACTTTTTGCTCAGGCTGGCCTCAAACCATGATCCTCCCAGTCTCCATCTCCTGATGGCTGGGATTATAGCTGTGAGCCACCACTCATAGCTTGAAGTGGTTCTTCTGTTTGGTCTTTCTTTTCAAGTTCTGTGACCTTCATCTTACCTGTAAAGTGTTTTGAAAGACCAATTGGGCAGTTGTTACAGGGGTTGGAGAAGAACAGAGAGGAAACAGAGACTGGTTAGGAGGCAGTTTCAGACATCATAGGTGGTGGCTCAGATAGGGTGACAAGGTGGAAATGAGAATAGGTAGAATTGAAGTTTGCATGCAGAAACCTCAGGGCTTAGCAGTGGTTTGGACTTGGGAACTGAGAATGGGAGGGAGTGGGGAGGTGCCAGGTTTCTGACTCAAGTAACTGAACACATGGAGATGTTACTCAGGTGCAAAGCAGAGAAGGTGGTTGTGTCTCAAGTGGACCTTGGGCTCCCCTCTGGACTCCTCAGCTTTGCAGGACCCTAGAGAACATCCAGGGAAAGGCAGTGACATCCAAACATGGCCTTGTTTCCCTTCAGTTCTATAGGAGACTCCATGGGACTGAGTGGAAATACTGCTCAGTATGGCATTGCTTACAAACAATAGTGGCTTAAACAAATAGAAGTTGTTTTGTTTCATACAATGGAGTTTGAAAGTCAGCCACTGGATGTTGCTGTTGGCCTAGTAGCCCTGTGATGTCACTTAAGATTCTTGAACTTGAGCTGGGGGTGTAGCTAGGTAGAGCACCTGCTTAAGCATATGTGAGGCTCTGGGTTCCATACCCAGCACCACAAAAAAAAAAAAGATTCTTGAACTTACCGTGAGGTGGCCACTACTGCTTTAGCCACCACATCATACTTGAAGTGGGCAGAAAGGATGCAAGGGGAAGTAAAGAGAGACGGGACATACTCCTGCTGGTGTTTTAAGAGCTAGAACTGAATAAAGTCAAGCATTTCTTGACAGTGGTTTCCATTGTCCAACCTACACAACAAAACCGTCCACAAACCACTTCTTCTAAGATCTATCTGGGCTCTTGGAGGAAGATAAATGAGGCCCTAGTTCCAGCCCTACTATTTCCCAGCTGTAGAATCTTGGTCACTTATGAGGTATTCCAAACCTTTTGGTCATCGTCTGTAAACTTGAAATGGTAATAGCAGCTTCTACCACTTTGTGGGAGGAGAACTATCACGAATGTGAGATCAGGAGAGCAGGTGCTTGGGCTTTGGGCCTAGGTTTCACATTTTACTTTTTTGGGAGGTGTGGGGAGGGGCCTGAGGTTTGAACTCAGGGCTTCATGCTTGCAAAGCAGGCACTCTACCACTTGAGCCACACCTCCAGTCCATGCATTTCACTTCTTTTATTTGTTAGTTTTGGAGCCTTGGACAAGTATCTTAAATTGATTGTACCTGTTTTCTCATATAAAAAGTGATGATAAGCAGGAGGATCACAGTTCAAAGCCAGCCCTGGGCAAATAGCTTGCAATATCCTATCTCAAAAAAACCCATCATAAAAAAGGGCTGGTGGAGTGACTCCAGTGGTAAGAATGCCTGCCGAGCAAGCGTGAGGCCCTGAGTTCAAATCCCAGTTCTGCCAAAAAGTCCCCCAGTGATTACAGTAGTTGCTAACTGATAGGATTGCTGTGAATGTTAAATAAGTTAATATTTCTAGGCTGAAGGCATGGCTCAAGTAGTAAATGCTTGCCTAGCAAGCATGGATCCTGAGTTCAATTGTCAGTACCACCAAAAAATGAGTTAATATTTCCAAAGGGCTCAGAACAGTACCTTCCACTTAGCAATATGAAAGTTCTAGCTAGTGTTTTTTCTTTTTAAAAATTTTTTGTTATTGAGGATCAAATTCAGAGCCTCACACCCATGCTAAACAAGTGTTCTACCACTGAAATACGTAACTCTTTTTAAAATGTATTTTTCTTTAATGTGGGATCTCACTTTGTTGCCCAGGCTGGCCCTGAATTTCTGGGCTCAAACAATCCTCCTGCTTCAGCCTCCCAAGTAGCTGGGACTACAGGCATATCCACCACACCCAGCCAACTAGTATTATTATTTATTATAGTACTGTTGAGCCCTTGTCCCAGTGCCTAACTCATAGTAAGTGCTCAATAAATGCTATTTTAAATCATTAAAATGTCGTAGGTATGTGTAGGCTGGTGATAACAGTCATTTTGTGAGACCTTTAGCACAAAAGATTATTGACGGTTTGATTTTTACATTGTTTGGATGATGTGGAGGAGGGAGGGGAGTCATGCGCTGCCGTGCAGGTGGTCAGGTTTGGAAAGAGGAGCCCAGCCCTGAGGTTCGGACTGTCAGCCCGATCTCATAATGCTTCACCTTGTACTCCCAGGCCCGCTGCTGGAGGACTGGGACATAATCAGCCCCAAAGATGTCATTGGTTCTGACGTGCTGCTGACTGAGAAGCGGTCATCGCTGACAACAGTTGCCCTGCCTTTCACACAGTCCATCCTCTCTCAGGTAGTTTCCAGGACCCTGGGGCCCCGGCTATGGTTGGAGGGCAGAGTATGTCTGGAACCCCTGACCTGCACCATGGTACTTGGCACCTTCTCCTGACATGTGGCTTCCCTCCCTCCTTCCTCCCCAGGTTGGCCGTACCTTATCCAAGGTCCAGCAGGTGCTGAGCTGGTCATATGGGGAGGATGTCAAGCCTTTCAAGCCGCCCTTGAATGATGCTGAATTTCACACGTACCTAAACCATGAAGGCCAGCTCTCCCGCCCCGAGGAGTTGCGTCTACGGATCTATCATGGCGGTGTGGAGCCCTCACTGCGAAAGGTGAGCCTCCTTGCTTCCTCATTGCGTCCATGACTCCCATGCTTATTGGTAGCTCATGAGACACATGCAGTGGAGCACACTGTTGTGTATGGGGCAGATATTCCGGGGCAGGATGCTGTCTTGGGAGGGACTAGGAGTCAGTGGTAGGAAGGCAGACTTGTCACAAGGAAGACGGAGGCTCCAGGGGGCTGCGTTGCTGGTGACCAATAGACAGGGGTGTGGTGACTCACCTGTAGAGTGTCAGCCTCATCTCCTTCTTTCATCCCTGGCCAGGTGGTATGGCGGTACCTGCTGAATGTGTACCCAGATGGGCTGACAGGCCGTGAGCGAATGGACTACATGAAACGCAAGAGTCGTGAGTATGAGCAGCTCAAGAGCGAGTGGGCCCAGCGAGCGAGCCCTGAGGACCTGGAATTCATCCGCAGCACAGTCCTCAAGGATGTGCTGCGCACAGACCGGGCCCATCCCTACTATGCAGGGCCTGAGGATGGGCCACACCTGCGGGCCTTGCATGACCTCCTTACCACCTATGCCGTTACCCACCCGCAGGTGTCCTACTGTCAGGGCATGAGCGACTTGGCCTCACCCATCCTCGCCGTCATGGACCATGAGGGCCATGCCTTTGTCTGCTTTTGTGGCATCATGAAGCGCCTGGCTGCCAACTTCCATCCTGATGGACGTGCCATGGCCACCAAGTTTGCCCACCTCAAGCTGCTGTTACGACATGCTGACCCTGACTTCTACCAGTACCTGAAAGAGGCAGGTGCTGATGACCTCTTCTTCTGTTACCGCTGGCTGCTACTGGAACTCAAGCGCGAGTTCGCCTTTGATGATGCCCTTCGCATGCTTGAGGTCACCTGGAGTTCACTGCCCCCCGATCCTCCTGAACACGAGGTGGAACTTGTTGGACCCTCTAGCCAAGTGGCAGACACTGGCTTCGGTGGACACAGGGGGCGGCCAGTTCGACAGAGGCACATGCTGAGGCCTGTTGGTGGAGGAGGCAGTGTCTTCAAAGATGCTGTGTGCCATTTGGCTAGGTCCAGTCAGGGGCCTAGTGGTGGGGGGCGTCTTTTGAGACAAGCCAGCCTGGATGGCCTCCAGCAACTCAGGGATAACATGGGCCCCAGGAGGGACACTGTGGTCCGCCTACCCCACCCTGCTGCCCTCATTAACTCCAAGTCCCTCTCTGAGCCCCTGCTGAACTCCCCAGACCCACTACTGTCCTCCTCTTCCCACCCTGATTCCCCATCTTCCTCATCTCCACCATCCACCCAGGAGGCCTCTCCCTCTGGTGACATGGCTGTAGGATCCCCCTTGATGCAAGAGGTAGGCTCCCCGCGAGACCCTGGGAAGTCCCTGCCACCCTCACCTCCAATGGGCCTGCCCCCACCCCAGGAGTTTGGCCGGGGGAACCCATTCATGCTCTTCCTCTGCCTGGCCATCCTGCTGGAGCACCGTGACCACATCATGCGCAACGGGTTAGATTACAATGAGCTGGCCATGCACTTTGACCGCCTTGTGCGGAAACACCACCTGGGGCGTGTCCTGCGCCGGGCCAAGGCGCTCTTTGCTGATTACCTGCAGTCTGAGGTGTGGGACTCAGAAGAGGGGGCTGAGGCCACAGCTCCATCTTGATCAGGTTCCCTCCAATCCTCTATCAGCCCCCTAATCTCCATTCTTTGTCATGAGGGCCTATATGTGAGATACCACCTCCCTGCCTGCCATCCCTAGACCTGTTGGAGCCTGGGGCTCTGTCTCCTCAGGCTTGTGGGGGAGGAAAAAGGGGGCTGTGCTTGGCACCTATGGAGGCTACAACCTCTTTTTCTGTTTTTGTCGTTTTGTTTATAAACAACTACACTTTACACACATCAAGGTCATTGTGGTCTGTGTATTTCTCTGCCCCATCCCTGGATTTTGCTGTAGATGAAATTCCCATGTGCTCTTTACCTGATGGGGCTGAAATACTTCAGTTGGTGGAGGGTGACTTCTGCTTCCCCAGTGGCAGGGAGAGAGGTAGCTGCTGAGAATTGGTTGAAGAAGGTGAGCCCAGGCCTGGACTGACTGCTCTAGGAAAGCCTGGATCAGTTTTTCAGTATATCTGTATGCCTATAAGGGTTGGTATGGTAGCTGTGGATATTGTTTTCAGGACAGGCCCTGAGGGATGAGAAAGAGTTCCTAGCTCAAAAAAGGACAAGATTTATTATAAAGACTAGGAAGCTATAGCCTACTTACAGAAAAATGTTAGGCCAGCCACCCCTCACATGCCACACCTCACCATTTCTAGAATTTAGACCATTCTTTGTGAGTTTTATGCAATAATACTGGTGGCCCTGCACAGGGGTCTAAGACTACTACTATCTTTTTTTTTTTTATACTCAAGGAACATTTAATGTGAATCACATTATCTCAGCTATGTACCACATAGCTGGGAAATTAAAAAATCTCAGACAAGGTCAGGAACTTCCCTATTCCTGGGAGTCAGGTTTGGGGAGGGAACTGAGCACAGAGCAGATCAGCCAGGAGGTTTTTGTCTCACTTCCCCTCTGCATGTGTCACTGTGGTTACACGTAGCTGCTTCCACTGCCATGGTCTACTCCACAGTGGTCGACACTCATCCTCTTCCTGGATGTTCTGGATGGTCAGATACCAATCCAGCCCAGAGCATGAGCCTGAAAAGCAATCAGGAATCTCAGCCCCTTTGTCTCCAACAATGCCACTAGTGCCAACTCGCATCACAAACCGTGGGCCCTTCCTTGGGTTCTGCTGGTACCAGTCCACCTTGTAGCCACTGTAGCCACTGCTCAGGGTACAGGAGAGTTTGGCAGTTTGTCCCAGAGAAGTAGATGCTGAGGGTGGCTGTGTCACCACAGGCTGGGAGAGGTCCCCGGTCCGATGACAAGGTTATCATTGGGGTATATCTGGCAAGCCCCTAGAGCACTACTTTACCCGGCCTCTGGCCTGCTCTTGGGGAGACCTCCTCTTCTGTCATTCTTTTCCTTATAGTTCCTGAAACTTCAGTACCCCTCAGGCTACTACTATCTTGTCACTTACTTCTGAGCTAGCTTGAAGAACTGTGGCCCTTCCATGCTTAGGGCACTAAGATGGGTTCTCAGCTTATGAATACCTGTCTTAACCATTTCAGCAATAGAAACCACTTATTTGCCCTTTCCACCCCACTGATATGGATGAAACAAATCAAGCAATGATAAAACTCAGGACCTACAGAAGTTGCCTATTCATTTGCAGGATAATCATCAAAAGCAGGTACTTGCCAGGTGCCAGTGGCTCACACCTGTAATCCTAGCTACTCAGGAGACAGAGATCAGGAGGATCTGATTCAAACCAGCCCCAGGCAAATAGTTCATGAGACCCTATCTCGAAAATATCCTACACAAAATGGTTGGTAGAGTGGCTCAAGTGGCAGAGTGCCTGCCTAGGAACCCTGAGACCATGAGATCAAACCCCAGTTCTGCTAAAAAAAAAATCAGGTCCTTAGCTGGGCACAGTGTTGTGCACTTTTAATTCTAGCTACTGAGGGAGCTGAGGCACAGTAGGATTACAAGATTGAGGGCAGCCTAGGCTACACAGTGATACTCTGTCTCAAAAATAAAAAGGGGTACAGGAGGGTGGGGCAAAATAAACCAAAATAAAAAGGCTGGAGGTGCAGCTCAAGCAGTAGAGCGCTTGGAGTTCGAATCACAGTACTGCAAAAAAATATATATTGTTTTAAAGGTCCTTTTCCTGCTTACCTTCTCAGCAGTTGGGGTTCTTCCACAGGCTGGTGCTGACCTCTATAAAAGACATGACAGACAATGGATGAATTAATTGGGGTCCTTAGGTCATAACCTAGCTGCACCAGGTTCTGACCAAAAGTTGTTGGAGTGAGCAAAGCTGCCAAGCAACCATCTTCCCGTCTGTCTTCACCCAGATTGCCATGTAAAGCTCAGGATGACCCTTCTTTTTGGTGGGACAGGGGTTTGAGTTCAGAGCTTTGTGCTTGCAAGGCAGGCCCTCTAAAAGGCCCCCACCAGCCCCCAGTGCTGGTGGAGAAACTGAGGCTTCCTTACTTCCTCAGATGAGGGATTAGTCACTTGAAGACCCTTCCTGTGTCCAAGATGCTCAAACACTATGAGCCTATCAAGTGTGTGCTATGGCTAAGGGGTTCAGACTTCTCTGGGTGCCACCTGCCACATAGAGGTATAGGGCCCTCTGGGAACCTGAATGTCCCTTTTGTCAGTAACCAGCTGACACCCTAAGGGGTGCGTTCCGTGTGATCTGAGTTCTGATAGTTGAAGGTCTATTCAAGTCAATTCTGTGTATGGTGGCTTGGGACCTTTGAGGGAGAAAGAGTCCTCTCTGTAAGGAGGCTCAAATGACATGAAGGGCAGAACCTCTATTACTCTGGGACTCTTGGGCCTTCTGGGCCCTACCAAGATGGCAGACAGTACAAGCTGCTGATTCCTTGCCTGAAACCAACAGTGGAGAGACTACAGAAGAGAGAGCACTGGCTAGAGAAACCAGCACAGCTCTGAGACCCATGGGGACATGGAAGGTTATCTTGAACTGGCATGTGTTTTGAGGGCCAGAGGACTGGAGGAAGCAAATACAGGGTAGGTTAGAGAAGCAGAGGTGTAAGTTATGGCTCTTACCTCTTTCCCATGTTGACTTGGAAAGATCCTTGCCTGCACCTGCCCCCACTGCAGAAATCATCCATACCTTAGGTACGGGTGTGGGGGCGAGGTAGCGGGGTGGGAGTGCCAAGGCTAGTGTCCTGTTGAGGGAAGAAATGGGCAGCCAGGGGCTATCAGTCCTCCACCACTCCCCCTCCAGGTGCCAGGGCTGCTGGCTGACAGGATCCTAAGGAGACTGCCTCCTCTTCAAGCTGCCTTCCTGTGAGTCTTGAAAGGTGAGCCCCTCAGCCAGGCCACTGTCAGGTAGTGTGACAGCAGGTATGAGTGACAACTGCTGCTGGGGCATCTGGATGCGTCCAGCCTCTGGCTCATCCCGCACACGTCCCTTTATCTCAAGCTCCAGGTAAGTGAACAGACCAGAGTCTGGTCTCAGCCTTTCCCCAGTGCCTTTTGCCAGCCAGAGCAGCTGGTAACTTCAGTTCAACATGCCAAAATAACTAGACAGCAGGGCAGTGTAACCCACCAGCGAAAAGGAGACTGGATGTGTCAGTTATCTATGGCTGTATAACAACTTACTCCCAAACTCAGCAGCTCAAAACAATTTGCTCTCTGCTTTGATGGTCAGGAATCCAGCAGCAGCTTAAATGGGTGATTTTGGGGGGAGGGGGATGAGAAGTACTGGGGTTTGAACTTAGGACCTCACACTTCTAGGCAGATGCTTACCACTTGAGCCAGTCCACCAGCCCTGTTTTGTGTAGGGTATTTTCAAGATAGGGTCTCAAGAACTATTTGCTGGGGGCTGGCTTTGAACCATGATCCTCCTGATCTCTGCCTCCTGACAAGTGTGAGCCACCAGCATCTGGCAGCTGAAGAATTTTAAGTAAGTACAATAAACAAGGTAACATCAAAATATTACAGGGAAATGATGTAAAATGACCCTCAGAAATGTTAGGTATACCTCAGTATGATGGTAGAAAAAGAAGCAAAATACATATTGTATGTGCAGAATATGAAGTGAAAGATCAGAACTAAGTCCCAATATAATAGTAATTATAAAAAATATTTAAAATACGGTCTGGGGGTGTGGCTCCACTGGTAGAGCATTTGCCTAGCAAGCTCAAGGCCTTGAGTTCAAAATCCCAGTACAGCAAAAATAAATTTTAAATACATAGATCCTCATTATTTTTTAAAAAGTCCAAGCCAGGGCTGGACACAGTGGAGCTCTTGTAATCCCAGCTACTTGGGAAGCAGAGATGGGGAGGACTGAGGTTCAAGACCAGCATGGGCAAAAACTTAGCAAGACCCCATCTCAATAAGCTGAGTGTGGTGACACATGCCCGTGATTCTGTTGTAGTGGTCTGGTCTCTGGAGTGCTGTAGTAGTTGCCAGGAACTTTATCTCTTGAAATCAAAGAGTGACAGCCACAGACAACGGGGTGATCAAAAGAGCAGAGTTTTATTTAAGAGAGGAAAAGGAGTAGAAAACTCCCATATGTATGGGAGGGGCTTCAGAAAGGCTGAGCCCCTGAGGCTCTTTGTCTAGGAGTTTTTATAAGGATTTTCTATCCTGGTTGAAGGGAAGCTGGTTGTGTCTCTGTGCTTTTGGTCCATTTAGGTGATGTGCATCTGTGCCAGCCCATGGACATCACTGTGTATGCCTCTCTTTCCCTTCCCAACAGCCCCGAGGTCCAGCACACTTATTGAGCATCTTATGGGGGGGGGGCCTAGTTCACATGCCTTTAGCAGTTTCAAGGCTTGAGTGAGTGAGATTTCCCATTCCCCACACCTGTTTATCTCAGCGCCCAGGCTTTGGCAGTTTCAAGGTCTCTTACAGTCTGTTCCTCTCATGGCCTCTCCATGGAGGGCACCCTCCCTAATCTTCCTGACCAGTCTCTAACTCCTAGCTTCCAATTTCAGTTTCTGAAACAAAGGAGGCCATAGGTAGGAGGATCATGGTGTGAAGTAGGCTCAGGCAAAAATGCAAGATCCTATCTAGAGATAACTAAAGCAAAAAGGACTAGGGGCATGGCTCACGTGGTAGACTGCCTGTCTACCAAGTGCTAGGCCCTAAGTTGAAACCCAGGTGCCACCAAAAAAAAAAAAGTCCAAGCTAGTCGTGGGTGGTACATAGCTGTAATCCCAGCACTTGGTAGATTCAAGAGGATCAAGAGTTTGAGAAACTGTAGGAGAACATTTCTGGGATCTGGGAGAAGTGAAGGATTTCTTTAAAAGTACAGATCAGTATGGCATGGTGGTACATAATTTCAGCACTGGGGAGGCTGAGGCACAAGCATCACAAGTTCAAAGCCAGCCTGAGCTTCATGTTGAGACCTAGAATCAAAAAAAAAAAAAAAAGCCAGGTGCCAGTGGCTCACACCTGTAATCTCAGGATCTCAGTTTGAAGCCAGCCAGGGCAAATAGTTTTCCAAACCCGAAGCCCTGTGTTCAAACTGCAATACTGCCAAAACAATAACAAAAACAAAAAATTAAACCTCTTTATTCAACCAAGGATACTGGTTACAAATTTAGTAACACAAATGTCAGAATGGAATAGTGGGCTTACAATTTCCAGCACATAAAGCATTAATAATTTGGCTATTTGAAGAATCCCTGAAACTTGATCAGAAGGGAACTACAGGAATTGGGCCAATAGAAATATCGATGAGTAGCATACTATACTCTGAAGTTTAACAAATCTAGATATCTCAGCTACACAGGAAGCAAGAGGTTCCCAGTCCTGATCAACCAGGCAAAAACAGGAGACCCTGTTTCAAAAATAACCAAAGCAAAAAGGGCCGGAGGTGTGGCTCAAGTGGTAGAAGGCCCGCCTAGCAAGCAAAAGGCCCAGAGTTCACACCCCAGTACTGCTAAAAACAACAACAACAAACTGTCAAATCTATTCATTGTAGCCGGGTACCAGTGGTTCACGCCTGTAATCCTAGCTACTCAAGAGGCAAAGATCAGGAGGATTGCAGTTGGAAGCCAGCCCGGGGAAATAGTTCTGCAAGACCCTATCTTGAAAAAAAACATTCACAAAAAAGGGCTGGCAAAATGGCTCAAGGTATAGGCCCTGAGTTCAAGCCCCAGTTAAAAAAAAATCTATTCATTTTAAACATAACTCAGACACTGAAGGCTGAAACTTTGGATTTCATTGTGTGTTGTAAAAGATCATTCTATGGATCAAGAGCAGAACTTGAGTGACAGCAGAACTTCCATGGACTGGGATTTGCACTCTGAAGATAGGATCAATTCTGTTTTGCAGAAGGCATCTTGGAAAAATTAAGAAGTTGTCTTAAGGAGACAGTCAGATAAGGATGAGAGCTTAAGTCAGAGATGAGAAAGATGACACCAAGGATATGTAGCCTATGACAGGCAACTAGATGTTGGGCGCAGAGAAGACAATAAAGGGGTTAAGGGTCGAGCACTGAGAAAATGTAGGGTCTGACATGAAAGACTGTGAAGAGTAATGACTTCAGGAAAGGCAGGGGATAAAATGCTGGGCCCTTGAGAATTATGAGGTTAGAGGACTAGACCATCACAGTAGGTACTTTGGCAGGAACCTAGAACAATATAGACAATCCCAGATTCAATTGGAGAGATGATGTCACGGACGGTGAGGATGACGTCGGGGACGGGAAAGGGTAGAAGAGTGAGAAATTTCCTGCACGGAAGATAAGAAAACAGCTCAGCTGTGTGGTGGGGGTTGGGGGAGAATGCAGACATTAGGGTGCACCAATTGCACAACGGTGTCGCCATTACCGGAAGCGCGCCGAGCGCACACTACCCACGTTCAGCTATCCCTTCCTCTTCCACCACCCCCTGGTGGCCTCAGCCAATGGGGACGCACGCCGGCGCACGCTGGGAGACGTTTCGTGACGAAGCCGCTACGTACGCTTTATCAAGCCTCTTCCCGCGCGACAGCCTCCCTATTCTTCCTGCTCCTCAGACCTTGTCGCCAGTCTGCCCTTTTTGCTTTTAAGATCCCAGGTAAGCAGTGTCTGCCTTGCGGAGCGACCACTCTTTGCTTCACTCCCGAGTGTCGTGCCGGCCGGAAGCGGAGGTCGCGAGTGGGGAGAGTAGCGGCCGCTGAAACGTTGGCTTGGGCTTCCCCGGGCGAGCGGGTCCCGCACTCGGGGGTGAAACTCCGTTTGGTGGAAGGCTGGCGCACCGCGTCCGAGAAGTATGGTGCGGGACCGGCGGCGTTGGTGGCGGTGGTGACCACGCGGCAGTCGAAACCGGCTGCCCTCTTTCCCACGTGACCGCCGCCATCTTGTTCTGCGGCCGCAGGGGGAACACAAGGCTGTTCCGGGCCTGCGCTGAGGCACAAATGACGGGCGTGGTGGCGCGGGGTGTTGTGGGCATGCGCGTGGCGGCTCTCAAATGGCGACGTGTTTGAGCCAGCTCTGCAGATTCCCGCCTTTTCGATCTTTTTCCTGGATCTCCTTAATTTGTTTCTATGTATTTTTTGTGCTTCTCTTAATCCTACGTTTTCAGTTGTTTGGCATCTTCCTCTCCCTTCTCTGTTACTTCCCATCGTTCTCCATACTCTTCCCCACAGGACTCGAATTTGCTACCATGTCTTCTGAAGAAGGAAAACTCTTCGTGGGAGGACTAAACTTCAACACCGATGAGCAGGCACTGGAAGACCACTTCAGCAGCTTCGGGCCTATCTCTGAGGGTGAGACGTGGTTCAGATCCATGGAGAGTGGGTGAAAGCAAGTCTGAGACACTTGCATATCATGGGACATTAGAGAAAAATCATGATCTCAAGCCTTCAAGTTATCCATACCTACTTTATTAAAGGGGGGGAGTGGGAGTTGCTTTTTTTTTTTTTTTTGAGACAGGGTCTGGTTATATAGCCCAGGCTGACCTCAAACTTACAGTTCTAAAGCTTCCCAAGTACTGGGATTACAAGTGTGCCTCACAACACCCGGATACTACTTGTTTCTTTAGGCCAGGGGTATAGACTTAGGCGGAGAAGAACTCAGTACGATGTAAGAAGGGGGGGGGAGTTCCATTTTTTATTTCTCTCTCTATTCGGGCCACTAATTGTTCCTTGTCCATTTGGGCACTGAGCAATCCACATTTCCTCTTTTCTAGTGGTTGTTGTCAAGGACCGGGAGACTCAACGATCCCGGGGTTTTGGCTTCATCACCTTCACCAACCCAGAGCATGCCTCAGATGCCATGAGAGCCATGAATGGAGAGGTGAGGCCTGCTACCTGCAGAGGGGCCTTCCGCCCATCTGCCACTTCTCCCTTCTGTTTTTCCCTCTGTGTCTGCTAGGGGCAGCGCGGCCATGAAGCCCCACAGTGCCCACTTACAGGAGCGTGACTGCCTTCTGTTCTAGGGGGTGGAGGGCAGCGGCAGACAGAGCCGGGCTGCCTGGGAGGCGACGACTGGTCCTGCATGAGGCCGAGAAGCCACCTGTGGATGGTTGACCTGCCCTGGGCTTAGGTAGTAGAGTCTGCAGACCTGTGGGCCTGGCCCGGAGAGGACCTCGTGAGTCTTCTGGCATGGACTCTGAAGCCTCAAACCAAGAGAGGTGTCTAGCCCTAATAGTCGGGCAGCTTAGAGGAGTGGGGAGGAGAACTCAGCCTGAGTTCAGTCAAGATGTAAGTAGTAGCAGGGGAACACGGTGGATTCAGGTCATTTTGTGGGATTCTTTAGCTCCTGATGAAGCCGTTGTGGTCAAAGGAGCTTGTTCTGGAACATGGCACCCAGAAACTGGTTCCCAGCCGGAATTTCTGGGCTCTTGCCCACCTGCCCATGCCCACTCTTACCTCACCACTGCCCTGACTGACTGCCAACCAATCCTCCTTGTGTCTCCCACGCCTAGTCCCTGGATGGTCGCCAGATCCGTGTGGACCATGCAGGCAAGTCTGCCCGGGGCACCAGAGGGGGTGCCTTTGGGGCACATGGTCGTGGTCGCAGCTACTCTAGAGGTAAGTGGAGTGACAAATTTGATGATGGGTTGGGGGGAGTAGAGTCGCCTGTTAGTGGCCTTTGTCTGAACAACTGCCATTTAATTGTTTCTTTGTGTGCTGTAGGTGGTGGAGACCAGGGATATGGGAGCGGCAGGTACGACAGTCGACCTGGAGGTTATGGATATGGATACGGACGGTCTAGAGACTATAGCGGCAGGTGGGTAGCTAAGAGATTAATGTACTCTGGTACTGAGTCTCAAGCTCAACAAGCCTGGGTGTTCATATGCCATGAAGTTGGGTTTACTACATGATGTTTATATTTCATATATTCTCCTTTATGCATTTAAAGTATAATTGTGGCACGTATTGTAAAATGTATAGTTTTTAATGTTATTTGCAGTGTACAGGACATTTCTGTAAAACATTTGTGCTTTTACCTAGAAGCCAGGGTGGTTATGACCGCTACTCGGGAGGAAATTACAGAGACAATTATGACAACTGAATTGAGGCACGAGTGCACATAGTGTAGGTAAGACTTGAATATTGGCACTGAACCGACCCTGCCCATTAGACCCTATCGTATTCTTGCCTTTTTCTTCTGGTCACACTGCTCAGTATTTTGGCTGCCCTCATGTACATCTTGACTTCTCTCAGGTGCATGTCAGTGCTAGTCTGCTTCTGGGAGGGTCTAAAAACCCATCCTTAAGCCTCTATTCTTTGGGAGATGGAGGAGTTAAAAGAGGTGTTTTTATCATTTTTTTATCAATCTGGGAGGTGAGCATGTTGTCAGCCTGTTTTCTTCCTGACGTCACAATTCTACCCCTTCTTACTGTTCTCAGATACACAAGGAATAACACTTCTGATCCAGGATCGTCCTTCCAAATCGCTGTGTTTATAAAGATTTTTGGAGCTGCGTTGAAACATCTGTTTTAGTACATCAACTTTTATTTTTGAAATGAGCTCCCAAGGTAGCTTGTTAAAGATCTTTTTGTAAGCTCCATGTATTCTTTAAGAATTTTTTTCCCATTTAAAGACAAATTCTGAGACATTTGTGGAATCCAGATATTTATCTTTTTATCAGGGTTTTTTTTGTTTGGGTTCTCAGGATTATTGCTTTTGACAAAAAAATGTTTTGCCAGACTGATTTTTTTTTTAATGAATGTGTATCTAGGGACATTTTTAAACCTTGTATACAATGTTTATCATGGTCAGAAAGTGATTTCTGAACATAACCTATAAGCAGCCTTCATCAAGAATACAATTATTTGAGAGATGTTTTTTATTCAAGATCACCGCCCTGATTATATAGAAGAGCTTCTTTAAAATGTTTGTGTCGTTTTTTTAAATACTGGAAAAAAAATTGTTGTGTCTCATAGTATTTAGTATGTCCTTCATGGAGCTGATTAAAAAGATGAAACGTGAACACGAATTGATACTGATAATGCTTTTTCCTTACTCAGTCCAGTTTACAAAATAATTGTAGATGCAGGTCAGGAGGAGGGAATCCTAGAAAGAAATTTGTTGGGGTGGAGGTCGTCAGGGTTTGCCAAAAGGGTAGAAACCTCAAATTGCAAAGCTTGGGTACACATATGGTGGGTATGGGGTAGAGTTCCCCTATAACTGGAATTAGGTATCCCAAGTTGATGTCTTGCCATTTAATGTTTGCGTCTCTAGCCGATCTTAGTTTTCTTAGTTCTGCCTCTCCCTTTAGTAATGGTTCTAGTAGTTTTCTGTATTGGGATTTCACACCCCCCCTCAATGGGTGTTATTCTTCCATTGGTTCCATTTTCAGACAGAAAAACGAGTTGTGGCCATGGTTTTCAACTGGCCAGTATTGAGCCAAATATCACCAGGTTGCAGTCTCCCAAGATACTACTACCCTGAGCTGCCTTATTGCTTCATTCATAGGGCATGGAGATGTGAATTGTGAGTCTTGGTCCTGGAGGCCTGCCTCTTGGACCTCCCAGCTAGTAGGGACAGGTCCTAAGGACTCTTTCTCCCTCCCAAATGGTCATGAATTTGCTTTGGCAGGTGGATGGAGACTCAGGAACTTACCAGACTTCTGCCTCACCCAGTGAGCCAAGCCCAGGTTATGGGGCATTGTGGCTAACCCCACCAGGTGGGTACTTGGTCTTAGGAGGCATCCTTTGGGGACCTAAGGCGGTGGGAGCTAGCAGAACAATGACTGCCTTATAAGTGGGGATTGGGGAAACCACTGCTACCTTTCTCAAGAGGAGAAATGTACCTCTTACCCAGAGTCACCTCAGGTAGGATCCCATAATCAGCCCTAAAATTTCCACAACAGAATCATTCTGTAGGTTTGATCAGTAAAGACCACAAATAGCCTCATATGCTCTTACAGAAGCTGTCATCCTGCTCTGCTTTCCAGCGTTCAGGAGGTGCATTGTAATAATTCAGCCATGGGAGGCCCGAACCACAACAATTTTCATTTTTTGCTGTTGTTTATTCAGGGGATCCATTTATTTACTTCAGGTGGTCAAAGCAGGAAAGGCCATAGCAGTTTTCTATGGTGCCATGGTTGGTCCCTAATAAAATTCAAGATTTGAGGCTCAAAGCATTCACCCTTTCATGGCTGAAAGGGGGAATTGAACCTGAGCCTTGTGCTGCATGCTAAGCATACACTGCCACTGATACTCCTAGTCCCAAATAGTTAATGCCATAGCCACACCCTTTTTAGTTTTGGTGGTACTGGAGGTTGAACTCTGGGCCTTGTGCTTGATCACTCTGTCAGGCCTATTTTGTATTGGGCTTTTTCAAGATACGGTTTTGACATTTTTGCCCAGGCTGAACTATGATCTCTGCCTCCCAAGTAGTTTGAAATTTCCTTCATAGTGCTTGTTAGGAGTTGCCTGCATCTCACTAATCAACTGGTTTTCCATGAACCCACATGGACTTAAAACCCCTAAACACTCAGGGCACCTGGAAACATGTATCCCAAGGCCTACAAAGCCTTTCAAACACTAGATATTGTCTGTACTGAAAACCTTTATTTCTCTCACAGTAGTAGGAATTTTTTTTTTGATGGGACTGGGGCTTGAACTTAGGTCTTTCCAAGTGCAAAGCAGTTGCTTTATTGCTTGAGCCACAGTTCTGTTCCAGTAATGGGAATTTAACCCAGGAACTTGGGGTTGCTAGGCAGGTGAGCCATACCTCCAGCCCTTCCTCAGCCCCAAACATTTTGGATACTGCCCCCCTTCCCCTAATCTTCAAGATCCAATCAGTAGCCAGTGTTACTATTTGTGCCTGTTTAGATAAGTCTTGAGGGTTTTTTAATAAATTCATGACAATAAGTCTTAATAAACAGTTTTTTGTTAGTGAAGATTGATTCTATGAGGTGGGACTCAAATTTACAGTTTATGCATGAAGATAAAGCTTCTTGTTAAAAAAATTTGTGTGATTCTGAATAAACATTTCTTTATCCGGTGTTTGAGGTTTTTTGGGTTTTGTTGGGGGGGTGTGTCTGTTTTATAGGGATTGAATGAAGGACTTTGGTGTGTGCTAAGTGTATACTCCACCAGTGAACTGTATGCCATAAGCCCACATTTTTTAAATATTCTTTCACTCATACTATTTTTATGTTATAAAGTGGAATATTAGCAATGCCTACCACGAAAAACCATCTGGTAAAGAAGAAACACCAATGTCAACCTGCATTGAAATCCAAAATTCATAGGACCTGAATACCTTGGATACTGGTTTGTATTCCATGATATCAGAAGTGCACAATGCATGAAACAAAGTAGAAACTGCAAAAAAATTTGGGGAATGTGTGCTTATGTGAGAAAGATAAGTCCTATTCAGAACCAACAGACTTAACCTTGACAGGAAACTGGTACTGGCATTTGAAGTCAGGCCCTACACCTTGAGGTACTCAACAAGGTCTGTTTTTGTGATGGGTTTCTAGAGATGAAGTCTCCCAAATTGTTTGTCCCTTAGCCTCAATTGCCTTTGAACCGCCTGCCTCCTGAGTAGCTAGGATTATAGGAGTGAGCCACTGGTGTTCACATGGAACCATTTTAAAGTGATACATTGCAAAAACACTGCTGATACCTCAAACTTACTGTCCAGCAGTGGCATGTTTTCCCTTTTTAGTGGCTAGTTGGTTGACTTTTGCTACTTGGGATAGTACTGTATCTCTTGAAAACATGTATCCCAAAGACTTTCAAGCCCTCCCCCTCCCCCTCCCCCCATCAGTAATGGGAGTTGAACCCAAGCCTGGTGCATGCTAAGCAAGCTTTCTGTCACTTGAGCCATGTCACTTCTTTTGCTTTTTTCAGAAAGGTTCTTGAACAGACAATACTCTAGCTGACTTTGAACCATAATCCCATCTCACTTCCCTAGTAGCTGGAGTCACAGGGTGTATACCACCATTCCTGGCTTTGTTTTTTTGGGTGTTTTTTTTTTTTTTTTTTTGGCAGTACTGGAGTTGGAACTCAGGGTGTTGCTAGGCATACTCAACTTGCTTCCTCCTCATCCCCTCTGGTGGGACGGGGTTTGCTTTGGGCTTGCAAAGCAGTGCTCTACCACCTGAGCCACACCTCCAGTCCAAGAGATAAGGCTGTCCTTAAAATTTAGATCCTGTGTCTACCTCCCTGGTAGCTGGTGCATGTGCCACCAAACCCAGCTCCCAGCCCTTGGTTCTTTTGAGACAAAGTCTCAGACTTAATGCTGGCCTTCAACAATGTATACCCCGGGTTGGGTTGGAATTTACTATCCTCTTGCCTCTGCCTCCCAAGTAGCTGGAATTACAGATAGGCTTTAGAATATAAATATCTACCACAATGTTTGTATTGGCTCCATATCTTGGCTTTTATACATTAATGATGTAATGAATATGAAGGTACAGATATCCTTGAGATAGTGATATTTTTCTGGTACTAGAGTTTAAACTCAGGGCCTCACTTGCTAAGCAAGCACTCGTGTACCACTTGAGCCATTTCCACCAGCCCTTGTTATTTTTTTGTGTTTTTGATTTCTCTACCTTTTAACTGAGGTAATACAATTAAGTTGAATAAAATTAATTTGCATATGTGCACCCTTATAACCACATTTGTAGAACATTGTAAAGCCCAGTTAACATGCCCCCTGCCAGTTAACGTCCTTCAAAGGGAAGTCGCTAAGTCTCAATTTTGCCATTATAGGTTAGTTTTACCTAAATATTTTTATTAACCAAGTATACATTTTTAATTAATAGCATACTAGTTTTCTATAACTGCTTTAGTAATTACAGGTTGTGTATTTATCTAAATTGCTTGGGACAAGTATTTCAGATTTCAATTTTTTTTTAGGTTTCTCACTATTTGCATGAATATTCAGGTTGAACATCTCTATATGTGAAAATCCAAAATCTGAACTGCTCCAAAGTCCAAAACTTATGCAGTGACATGTCACGGTCAGAAGTTTGAGATTTCAGATTTTTGGATTACAAATGCTCAACAACCACATAATTTTTGGGGTGTGGGAGGGAGGTGGCCCAAATAATGTATACACAAGTAAATGTAAAACCAATAAAATTAAAAACCCCCATAATTTTATAGTTTTGAAGGCCAGAGTTGGACATGGGTTTCACCAGACTAAAATCAAGGTGTTAGCAGAACTGTGTTTCTAGAGATCTAGGGGAGCATCAGTTTTCTTGATCATTCCAGGTGTTGACAGAACTCAGTTCTTACCCTGTTTTTTTTTTAGTAGCTGTAAGAGGGCTTTTCTCAGCTTCTAGAAGCTTCTGTGTTTTGTGGCTCTTAGCCCCTTCCATCTTCAAAGTCAGCAACAGCAGGTCAAGTGTCTCTCACACTTAGAATCCCTTCTCCATCTCCTCTCTGATGCAGCATGATTGGATAGGACCCACTTGGATAATCTAGGATAGTCTCCCCATCACCAGGTCCAGACCCTAATTACATCTCAAAGATCCTTTTTTCATGGAAGGTAACAGTCAGTTTCCAGGGTTCGGGAGTGGACTTTTGGGGGGCCCATTCTACTTACTGTAAAAAATGGGGTAAAAACGTTCTAAAAGGCAACAGTGGTAGGTATTAAAGCTACTTTTATATTACTGTACTGGGAGTACATTGTAACATTTACAAAAGTTCTTACAATGTGTTAATAGTTGAATTGACCCCTTCCATCATTCTTTATCACCCTCCTCAGTATTTTTTAATGTCCCTGTTTTAGTTCTTTGTCCAGGAGTATGTTGTTTAATTTCTAAATGTTTGAATTTTTCCAGTTTTCCTCCTGTTAGTGATTTCTACTTTCATAACAGTGTGGTCAGAAAGGTTTTTGATATGATTTCAGTCTTAGATTTGTTAGATTTGTTTTATGGCCTAACATGGAACTCAGGGCCTTGTGAGCTATACCTCTTACTCATTTTTTGTTTTTAGCAGCCTGGGGTTTGAACTCAAGGACCTATGTTTGCTAGGCAAGTGCTCTACCACTTGAGCCACATTCCCCAGCCACTTTGATTTTGAGACAGGTGTTGCTATGTTGTCCAGGCAGGCCTTGAACTCCTGAGCTCAAGACCTCCTCCTCCTACCTCATCCTCCATACTTATCCGGAACCATAGGCACCTACCACTAAACCTGGCTTTAACTCAATGTTAACCCTCAAGTAAAACTCCATTGGAAATTTCCCGTACTAGAGAAGTGGTTGGGGTTTTTTTTGTTTTTGTTTTGAGGTACTGGGGCTTGAATTCAGGACGTTCATCTTGAGCCACTCCACCAGCCCTATTTTTGTGAAGGGTTTTTTTGAGATAGGGTATCCTGAACTATTTGCCTGGGCTGGCTTCAAACCTCAACCCTCCTGATTTCTGCCTCCTGAGTAGCTAGGGTTACAGGCGTGAGCTACCGGCGCCTGGCGTGTTTTTTGTTTATGCATGTCAGGCAAGCAATCTACCACTAGCTAGCTACACCCTCAGTCCTAGAAGTCTTTTTTTTAAATTATCATACATTAATAATACAAGAAGATAATTCCGTATGTGCATACAGTGTACCTTGAACAAGTTCATCCCAGGCATTATTTTTCCATTCCCCATCACTCCCTCGTTTTTCAGTGTTTGTTGGGTTTCATTATGCTGGTGTGTATATGTGTATATATGTATCATACTTTCCAACGTCTTCACCCCTCAGTTTCCTTTCCCCATGCCCCTTTCCACTGACCCCTCCCATACAGTACTATATACATTCATGTGCCATTATTAGTATCATTTAATTTGGGGGTGGGGAAGACTGGGGTTTGAACTCCGTGCTTGGCACTTGAAAAACATACACTCTACCACTTGAGCCACACCTCCAGTCCATTTTGTTCTGTTTATTTTGGGGACAGGGTCTCAAATTATTTACCCAGGCTGGCCTCGAACTGTAATCCTCCCAAATCTTGGCCTCCCAAATAGTTAGGATTACAGGTGTGAGCCACTGGCAACTGGCCTATTTTAGTTTTTTGAGGAACTTCCACACTTATTTCTATAGTTTATGCTAGTTTACATTCCCTCTAACTGTGTGAGGGTTCCTTGTTTCCCAGCATTTGTTTACTTGCTTTCTTGATGATTGCCAGTCTGACTTTGGTGTGATGAAATCTCAGTGTCATTTTGATTTGCATTTCCTTTATGGCTCTGGATGTTGAACACTTCATGTATTTATTGGCCATTTGTATTTCTTAGAACTGTCTATTCAATTCATTTACCCATTTATTAATTGGATTATTCTTGTGCTGTTTAGTTTTTTGAGCTCTTCGTATATTCTGGATATCAATCCCTTATCTGTTGAATAGGTGATGATTTTTTTCTCATTCTGTGGGCTGTTTCTTGACCTGGTAACTGTTTCTTTTGTGCAGAAACTTTTTTTTTTTTTTTTTTTGGTGGAGATGCCGGGGATTGTGCAGAAACTTTTTAATTTGATGCAATATCATTTGTCAATTCTTGCTCTTATTTCCTGGACAATTGGAGTCCTATTCAGAAAACAACTACCTGTGCCTGTATCTTCCAGAGTTTTCCCTACTTTTTCCTCTAGTAGTTTCAGTGTTTCAAGTCTTCCCTTAAGATCTTTGGTCTATTTAGAATTGATTTTTGTACAGGGTGAGAGATGGATAGTGGTCTAGTTTTAGGTTTCCATCTTCTCCATGTAGCTAGCCAGTTTCCTAGCAACTCTAGAAGTTTTTTTGTTTGCCAGACTGGGATTTGAACTCAGGGCTTCATGCTTGCTAGGCAGACACTCTACTACTTGAGCCATTCCACCACTCTTGTTTTGTTCATACTGGATATTTTCGAGATAGGGCCTCACAAACTATCCACCTGAGCTGATTTTGAACCCCGATCCTCCTCATCTCTGCCTCTTGAGTAGCTAGGATTACAGATATAAGCCATCAGTGCCTGGCTCCTAGAAGTTGCCAGAGCAGAGAATTTGCTTTATTTAATCTTTACAACTGCAATCCTCAGTAAGTACATTTTTCTTTATTGAGATCCAGTCCATCTATTTGTTAAGGTAAGGGAAAGAAAAGTAATGCATAAATACTCCTTTTTGTGTACTCTGATGTTTCCAAATTTATTTAGCATATTTTAATAGGGACACCTGGCCCCAAACTAATAAAGCGATTATGGAACCTGCAGTTGAAAAAAAGACTATAGGTTTAAAGAAAATAACAACAACAAAAAGACTATAGATTGAATAGTCTGGGTGATGG